AGGTCCGAGCGGGCCCTGGCTGACCGTCACCGGCTGCGGAGTGGGCTGGTTTGACTGGCGGGCGGGGCTGCTCAGAAACTCGCTCAGCTTCCGCACCGTGTTCTGCAATCTTGTGTCGCCCTTGTCCTCAGCACGAGTGATGACGCCAGTCAGAGCCTCGGCGAGATCCTTACTGCCAAGCTGCATGCCCTGGGTGTTCGATTCTTTCTGCGGGGATGATGCCGTGCTAGAGCCCTGGGCCTGCGTAAGAGCGGAGCCGATTTTCGCCATCTGTCCCAGCGCCGCCAAGGATCCCATCATGTCGTTGAACTGGTTGGCCATCGCGCCAAACCCGTCCTGTCGTGGCTGCCACTGTCCACGTCCTTTTCCCCAAGAGTTGCCAAAGTTCCCCTGGCCGTAGCTCTTGCCGTAGTTCCCCTGGCCCTTGCCGCCGCCGTAGTGGCCCTGGCCACCCATGGCTGACGACCGAGGCGGAGTCTCGGAGTAGGTGCACAGAGACTGGTGCACGGAGACAGCACGTAAAAGAGCCTCTTGAGCACGAGCACAGTGGTTACGGTGAAGCACAAGGGGTTGGGGTACAGCACGTGTTAACTTAGGACAGGAGTGGTACACCAGGGATAAGCATAGTCTTATAAGGTCATGGCCTTCGGTTCCAACGAAGAGCGGAATCCACAATCGATATATAAACCAAAACGGGTACCCAAGACGTAGATACACCATAACGTCAACACACATCAGATATGCTAGCAGAGCCTTTGGGATATGGAGCGAGCGCCACCTAGTCAGTCTACCACGAAGCTCAGCCCGATGTTGTTTTTGGGTAATCCGATTCCCAGAACCAGTGTAGGGGGGCAAAGAGTGCTTTACCAGATCTGTATCATGGCCGGTCCACGCGTAGCGTTCATTCTTATGCAACGGACAGACAGAATAAGTACTGAACCCAAAATGGATCTCGACGTCCAAGAACTTCTGAATCACGGTATGGTTAAGTATAAGTTGTTTTTCGTCCACTTTAAAGCATACAACATCACGATATACAGCTTGCAGGCACATACACACACATTTTCTACACCATGTACGCGACATCAGGCAAAGATCATCGACATATCGTCCTGGGGCGACATCCTTACGGCGTGACTTAACGGCGTGGTCGAACGTGTTCTCATAGCGGCTCAAGACCAACTCCAAGATAACCCCAGATAGCGGCCCACCAATAGGGATCCCGCGAAGTTGTTCCAGCCAGAGACCCCCAAGACGATAGAACTTCATACCAAGAAATCCCAGAACAGCACGTCTTAAGGATCGAAACGAAAACACGGTGCGGTCACAATGTGGCTCACGGAAATTGCCTCCCCAGGAAGTGCTGAAACCTTGTTCGTTATCCGTGACCGTCACAGTATGGCATTTTGTTATTTTTGGCAGGTCGGCAAAAAACGCGTCTACTGCTTCTGATATAGCCTCTGTCGAAAGGTCCTCGTAGGCCTGTCCCGCATCGGCCACCACCAGGGTTGGGTGATCCAGAGAGGCCCCACATCCAAGACAGCAGAACCTTGGGCTCCCACGTGGCCTCTGAGGGGGGCGAAGTGCTTTTACTCTTTCCTGAAGGATCGGCAGTGCCTGTTTCATGTCACGAACGGACCAGCCTGGCGTCACAAACGCCAGCAAATACTGAATGCAACGGCCAACTCTGCGATAAATTCGTCGGCCTGGCATGTGGTAAAAACTGCAGATATTGCGAAAGCAGGAGTGAGACTCGTCCGTGCATGTGTGCTGGCCATCTGCGCTCCAGCACTTGGCCTTGACTGTCGGGTATGCATAGGGAACGTTTCGAACACCAAAAGCCGAGCGATTCTTGAACAAGGGTTTTGGGATCGTGAAATCTAGGAGGGTGCGATACCATTGAACAACCGAATCGACGGGTGCGGTACTAATACGCCACCGATGGGGTACACGACCGATCAAGTACAACCAACGTATCAACAGACAGAGTGGAGCCATAATCCATAACACACTGGGATCTTTATCCTCGACAGTCACGGCCGCCTGCGCTTTTGCCTCCTTAAAGCCAGCCTGTACATCAGCAGTGAGAGAGGCAAAGATCTGACCAGAGGACTGCGGATCGGTCCTGGCGTCTGCAAGATGCCGAAGACCCCGGAGATTGGTGAACGATAACGAATGCACACGGAGCCACTTCCCACATACTTCTGATAGATTGTGAAAGGCCTCTGGGCCAACATGCTCAACAGGAGTTCGTCCACCAAGCTCGATCTTCGAAACGTCAGCGCCTGAACAAACTTGAGCAAAGGCCTGTCGTGGCAGGTTGGAAATATCAGACATCTTGAAAGCAGAAAGGACACGCTGTACATTCACTACTTGCCTCTTCAGAGGGCGAGGGGTCGCTGTGGCGACGTGGGTCGACCTCCGTACAAGAGAGACCCAGTGTGGTCGTATAGCGGCCTCTGCGCGCAGGAGTGACTGAATCCACCTGGACACGTCTTTTCGCCATGCAACGATAGGCACCAATAAGTATGTGAGACGGGGTACATGCTGCCCAAGGGTACTTATCTTTTGTGATACATATGCACGCGCACGTAGTTTGTCCCGGTAGTGTGGTAGTAGTGCACAGAAGGTCCATACCAGGAAATAGAAATCCTCAGGATATTTGCGAAACAAAGATGCTCGTTCCCATTGGATGTATTCAGGTTTCCAGGACAGGAGCTTTAGAAACAGGGGTGTGTAGCCTGGCAGGTGTGGGTCCAGGGGTCCTTGGGTTCGGTCTCGATCATATACTTGACTCTGATAATATTGGTAGACATACTGGAATGGGTATCGTAATACTGTCTGAATACGGCTACGCTGGACAAGATATTGCTGACGGGCTAAAAACTTGGCCGCATGCTTCTCCAAGCTGCGGTCGTGCCATAAATCCTCTGAGACCTGGATGCGATCTAGCGATTTCCGTGAAGAAAGAGCGAATCTGCCATTGCGCCGTCGTCGAGGCCGTGCACGGACCTTTCCTGAGTGTCCGACGCGGCGGACATCAGGGAGATCATTCGCCTCAGGCCGGTAAATATTGATGTAGGCGGCCTCGACACAGAAAGCCCGCTCCGTATAGGTACGAGCAATCAGTAGGCAGAAAAACTGGGACGGTCCGTCACGCTCGAGAAGTGTAGAGTATCTCCTCTGTTGGGGTGCCCGTACCTTAGTTTTTGTTAGATGCCAGTCACGAACATGTTCACGAAACCGAGCAATAAAACCAACCAGGGAGCCTGTCTTCCTGCGTTCCCGAGCTTGTCCAATATAACGTGCACGATAACCTAGTTGATAAATATGATGTGATTCTGGGCCTCGCAGGGGCCCCGTCCCATAAATGCCAGACGTTTGGAGCTGGATCAGGTCTTTGAGGGCTAGTACATGACACAGTTGAGCCTCCCCCGAACGAATGAGCGCCTTCCGATATTGGGCCTCCAAGGGTCCACAAGCCCGCTGGGCCCACCAGACCTGCCTACGACCTCGGAGTCCTCCAAACCTCAAACTGAGTAGCATGATGGCCAGAGTCACGCTTCCCAGGAGCTCCCAAGAACGTGGTGTAAGAGTCCCCGAACGTGGGGCCAACGTAAGGAGCTCTTGTTGGAGTGCCTTGAGGGCCAGGAGGAAGTCCACGGACGGCTCCGAGACGACAAGGTTCCAGAAGACGGTGCCCCAGAAATCCACCACCTCCGAAGGTAAATCTGCAGGCCTATGTTGGAACAGAACTCCAGGGTGAATACCTAATTCGGCGCCAAGTCGACTCAGGCAGGCTAGACGGGCACGGGTTGCCTCCTCGATAGCAAGGGGGCCTGATGCTGGAAGTGCTGCAGGGGATTGAAGAACAGCACGGTATGCGCCTGCATGCTTGCCAAGCAGAGACATCTCAATCGAGAAAAAGGAAGGAGGAGGGTATCCGTGTCTCCAATCGCGCTGACGCCCACGGTATAGCCACAGAGCAGCACGTAGGCGAAAGAGAAGGTGGACACGGAACCAGGCTCGTCCTCTAGCTGGTGCTTACGGTATAGCCACAATACAGCACGTGGCACCAGGGAGGACAAAGCCAAATATGGAAGAGGATGAAACAACAACAAAGTATGGAATATGTAAGACGTCGGTGGTACGCGCTGGGTCGTCCAACGTTCCAGGATGACGTCGACACACGATGGTGAAGAGAATATCCAATCCAGCAGCAGAGACCACTGAGACAGATCAATCTCTGAACATGGCAGGCCGACTGCGCTCGAGGGGTTCCTTTGAACGCGCACTGCTGCTAGCTCCTCGGCCCCTGTGGCAAGGGGGACGGCCTGAGCCCTAGATACAGCGGTAAAAGCAAAACATGTCTTGAGTGCTCCTGGCGGCGATTTTACCCCAAGATCTTATCCCCAGATCTTAACCTACACAATCGCAACGTAGGAAAACAGGCCTTGGACAGGAACTTAACAGGTACTAAGACTCATATCTCATGCTGTGTGCATACGGACTGTAAGTGAGAAAACTACAAGAACACACACGCACACGCACACACACACACACACACACACACACGCGTACACTGAGCATCAGCGGCCTGGTGAGCAGCAGACTGAGCGGTCACGCCGCACTCGCCTGCGCAGGCCAGACTCGAGGAGCGGCAGGCCTGGCCGGGCCGGTGCGGGCCCCGCTGGTCGCAGGACGCCGAGGCAGGAGCGGAGGCCCACGTGTTTGAAGGGGCCCTGGGGCACACAAATAAAGACACACAAATCACAGGATTCCCTCTATTTTCCGACACTTTGTGGGGTCTCGTCTGCCCCCCCACTCCCCATGGCTTCCCACATGAGCTGGGGAATCGACGATTCGTTGTGTCTGTGTCTGTGTGTGTTGTTGTTCCCTCCGGAGTGTTCCTGCGGAGGGAGCCCGCTGCGAGCGGAGGGGGAAGCAGCGGGAGCGGGCAGCAGCGGCAGCACGCGTGCGGCGGCGGGCGGCGGAGGCGCCAGCTGTCCCAGTGGCTCTTGCGGGCCTTGCACGTGGCCCAGTCCACGTTGCCCCTCCGCTCGATCGCCAGGTCGTGCCTGGCGAGGTCCCGGGAGCAGCAGGGCACGGGAGAGCAGGGCACGAGAGAGCAGGGCACGGGGGCGCCAGGAGGGGTGTCACAAGGGAGCAGAGATGAGTCTGCAGGAAGGTAGGAGCGAGCAGCGTTGCGAAGAGACGGCGTGGTGAGAGGACGATCAGAACTGAATAGAGCGGGCAGAGCAAGAAACATACGAAAACCAGAACGAAGGGGACAGGAGGAAAGCAGAGGGAGAAAGACATGAAGGCCACGAGGTGACAAAACAACGGAAAAGGAAGCGTAACAAAAATCCGAATGGAGAAAAGGAAGGTGGGTATAAAGATTATCAGTCACAAAAAGAAGACGAGGAATGGGAAGAGAGCAAGCGCAAAGGCAAGGACAAGAGCAAGAATGAAACTACAGTCGAGACAAACAGGAAGGGGATGTGGAGGAAGCAGAGGGTTAGGAAAGGAATCGGAACAAGAAGATGCAGAAGAGAACGAGCGAGAGAGACAGGGAGAGCGAGAGATAGAGAGAGAGAGCAGGAGCAGGAGCCAGAGCAAGGGTAAGAACGAGAACGACAAGAAGATCAAGACCAGGACCAGGAGGTAGATGGCCAGAGAGGGCGGTCCTCCACATCTTCGACTTGGTGTAGTGGAGCGGGCAACCAGAGGGCATTCGGTAGTAGCAGCCCGGCTGGCTGGGATACCCGCGCACGACGTCGGAGTCGTCGAAGCTGGGCGGCGTCGCTTTCTCCTCCTCCTCCTCCTCCTCCTCCTCCTCCTCCTCCTCATCCTCCTCCTCCTCCTCCTCCTCCTCCTCCTCCTCATCTCGCCTCCTTCCTCCATTCCCTGGGCCGCAGGAGATGTTCAGCCTTGACCGCCCACTCTGGGGTTGCCGCCAGGTCGACGGGCAAGAACCTACCGCAGCAGAGCTTACCCTTCCTCTCTCGCCTGTCAAAACATCAGCAGGGCTGACAAACGGTCACAGTACTCGAGAGCATGGCCGCTGTACCACTATCAACCGGGAGGCTATCCCATCTTCGGTGGCCAGGGGCAAGGGCAAAGCAACCGAGCATGCGAGACCCACTCACTCAACTGCATTAACCCACCGACGGGGGAGAGGGAAGAGACGGGGGTCAACGGGGGGTCAGGAGTGGGAGGAAGGGGTGAAGCTGACATGCTCGCGATTGCCTGCAGGAAAATTAGACAAGCGCTGTCTTCTCACTCCAGCAGACAATAGAGGCACCAGCACAAGCAATGTTGATGTTCGGCGCAAGGACGCCAGAATGCTCTGCACCCCAACTCCCAGATAATGAAGCCAGCAATTGTACGCGCTGGCATCCACTGTCACGATGCACACGCGCACGCTGGTTCTCCAATTAGCGCTTGAACTGAAGGGGTCCTAGCAGATTTTGAAAGATTTGGCGAAAATGGGCGGCCGATTTCGGTAAGCCGCCGGGTTCCCGGGTTCTCGGTTCCGGGTTCCCAGGTTCCCGGTTGCTGGTTCCAGACCGATTTCGGTGGGCGGCCGGGTTCCCCTGATTTTTCCGGGTTCCCGGGTTCCTGGTCGATCTCCTTGTCGATCGGTCTCACCATCGGTCTTATTACCCATCTCTCTATCGATTTCCCTATCGATTTCACAATCGATCTCACCATCGATCTCACAATCAATTTCAATGTAGATCGCACGAGCGATCTCACGATCGATCCCTCTATCGATCTCACTGAATCGACTTCACTATCGGTCTCACGATCGACCTTATGATCGTCCTAACTTTCGGTCACACTGTCGGTAGTACTATCGAGCTCAATCGATCTCAATATCCATGTCACTTTTTTCAAACCACCTCCTGATTGGGGCTTTTCTCTGGTGTAATATAAAGCATGAACGACGGTGGTAGGAAACGAGCCTTCGCTTGGCACAAGTGTTACAACTTCTGCCAGAACCACACATGCCAGCAGCGGTCCTTGCTTCGAAAACACCCAGTCATAGGTGCTAAACGGCACACCTGCCACTGCGCAGCCTCAGCCCGCACAGCCTGCCGACACTGCAAAGCTGCGCTCCCCCGAGCAAACCAGTGAGAACTGGGCTGCGCCGCCAGACACAGACACGCGCAGGCATACGTGCTGCACATGCGCCACCTTGCACGGCGCAGCCCGTCAGTCTGCATCTCAAGAAATATGCTGGAGGGGAGGCAGGGAAGGAGGAGGGGAAGGAATAGGGGGAGGGGGAGGGGGAGGGAGGAGGGGAGGGGAGGGGGAGGGAGAGGGGGAGGAGGAGGGAAGAGAGGAGAGAAGGGGGAGAGGAGGGGAGGAGAGGGGGAGGGAGGGGGAGGGGAAGGGGGAGAGAGGGGGAGGGGGAGGGAGAGGGGAAGGAAGGAGAGGAGGGACCTCTCGCCAGCGCCCGGCATGTTGGACTGCTTCTCCCAGTGCTGCGGCGCCATGTCCATTGTGGCAGGGAGCTCGTGGTCCACGGCGGGCGGTGTGGCGGGGCGGTCGTTGTCTACGGCGGTCGCTGTGGCGGGCCGCTCGTACCTGAACAGCGAGGCCCTCCCTCTCCGCCCCTTCCCCCGCTTCCCCCCTACTCCTCGTCCATCCTCCTCCTTCTCCTCCTCTTCTTCTTTATGCCGAAGGTATGGAGCCCAATCTGAGAGCCGCACAAACCACAGCAGCAAGGTGGCAAAAAAATCAGCCTAGCGGGCACTTCCGCCGATAAAACCCCAAGAAGGAACCTTCCTCCTCCTCCTCCTCCTCCTCCTCCTCCTCTCTTCCCTCCTCCTCCTCCTCCTCCTCCTCCTCCTCCTCCTCCTCCTCCTCCTCCTCCAGCTCCGCCTCCTCCTCCTCCTCCTCCTCCTCCTCCCTCCTCTGCCTCCTCCTCCTCCTCCACCTCCTCCTCCTCCTCCTGGCCCGGTTGGCCGCCTCATGAGCAGGCGGCAAGGGGCACGCGCGCAGCAGACGAGTTGCTCACGGGAACCCCCCAGGCCTCGCACCAGGGAAAAAGACGTGGTGATTGTGCAGGCCTTGCGCGTCATTCACTGGTAGGTGATCCTCCTCCTCCTCCTCCTCCTCCTCCTCCTCCTCGTCCTCCTCCTCCTTCTCCTCCTCCTCTTCTTCTTATCAGTACTACTAGTAGTTTTATCATTATAATCATCATTAGTACATTGTTACTATTGATAGTATCATCCGTATTATTAGTACTATTATTCATATTCTTATTCAGATTCTTCATAGGACTAGTATTCTTCTTATTCGCATTCATAATAATATCCTTTGTATTATTGTCATTGTTCTTCTTACTATTACTAGTAGTAGTGTTCCTCTTCTTCTTATTATTATTACTGTTCTTATTCGTAGTAGTATTACTATTCCTCCGCATCATCATCATAATCAGCATCGTCATCATCCTTCATTCCCTCTCCTTATGGATAACTCCTCCCTGTCGCACCCCGAGACAAGTTTTTAGGGCGGGCCGGGGGGTCGCCTAAGACTTCCCCACCCTGTATGACTCTGACGCTTAAAAAGTGTCAACAGTTTCACGGATTGAGGGCGGGTCGTTTTCAAAATGTGGCTTTCGCCTTGGCGCCGCGCACATTCGTTGTAAAAAGTTGCAAGAGTTTCACGGATTGAGGGCGGATGGCTTTCCAAGTGTGGCTCTCGCCGTGCACATTCGTCTTTAAAAATTGCAAGAGCTTCACGGGTTGAGGGCGGGTCGTTTTCAAAATGTGGCTCTCGCTCTAGCGCCACGTACATTCGTTTTTTTATGTGCAAGAGTTTCACGGATTGAAGGCGGATCGTTTTCAGAATTTAGCTCTCGCCTTAGCGCCGCGCACATTCGTTTCAAAAAATTGCAAGAGCTTCACGGATTGAGGGCGGTTCCTTCTCAAAATGCGGGTCTCGCCTAAGCGCAGCGCACATTCGATTTAAAAGCCTGCCAGAGCTTCACGGATTGAGGGCGGCTCCTTTTCAAAATGTGGCTCTCGCTATGACGCCGCGCACATTTGTTTTCAAAAGTTGCAAGAGGTTCAAGGATTCCCATGACCAACGCACCAGACATGGTGTTTTGGAAGGATTCAGGACTGTGCGGGCGCGACAGTTATGTTGATTCGCGGTGTTGAAATCCCAAAAATGACGCTCTCGCACGATTCCCGATCGTCGGGACGCAGCAGTCAGGTTGATACGTGGCGTTGACATCCCGAGAACCATGTTTTGGCATGCTTCAGGATCTTCCAAGGCTTGTCGTCCAACGAGGCAGTTCCCTCAATGAAATGAACCGTTGTGGGGGCCTATGACGAGGGATCTTGGAGGGAGGGTTAATTCCAACATCGTTGATGACTCTTGGTTTTACACTGGTCCTCCTCCTCCTCCTCCTCCTCTTCCTCCTCCTCCTCCTCCTCCTCCTCCTCCTCCTCCTCCTCCTCCTCCTCTTCCTCCTCCTCTTCCTTCTCTACCCCCCGGCTCCCCTACCCCATCCCCACGTCCCCCCTCCACGCCTCCGCCGTCTGCCACGGAAGAGAGGGGGGCTGGGGAGGGAGAGTGAGCGAGCGAGCGGGCACGCACCGTCGGTCCGAACGGCTGGCCCCATGGGAGCTGAGCGGGCGGACCGGGGCCTGGGTTTAGACGGGAGGAGGGGGAGGGAACGGACGACCACATTGCGGGCGGCCGCCTGGGCCCAGCTAAGACCAGGTGGGAGGGGCCGCGGCCTCAGGGCCCCCCCCGCCAGCAGAGGCCCTGTGTTCCAGCTGTCGCCCAGCGTCTAATGCGCTCTGAGAAACTACGGCGGCGCAAAGACACCGCGCGCGATGGCGACGCACGCAATCTTGGGGCTGCTCGGAGAGCGATCTGGAGCGCACTGGGCCGCGACGTGCCCCGAATAGCGCCCCAAATTGCGTGCCAAACAGCGCTCCTCCGAGCGACGCGTGGCCGACGCGCGTCAACCATTGGGTCGGGCGCCCCCGCTGCTATGAGACCCTGTGCTTTCGCCGGGATCGGTAACTTGGGACACTATTTGGGAGCGGATTTGGTGGCGAAATTCGGG